GAAGCAATATGGTGCATTTTGTTAAGTTTCCAGTAGAAGCTGAATATTATGTTTTTGGGCCCTTAAATTGTTGCAAGCAAAATTAGGCAGTACTGCAATGATGTTGCAATTTAAATTAAATGTTTTAGTTTTTTTACATTTCGTTACATGTGACTACGTTTGTATGGGTTAACTTCGGACATTCTTTTCGTGGTTTTTGTATTAGATCCGACGTCCAATCGTTGGTAGGTCGATGACGATAATTCATTTTGTTTATTAAGTTATTTTAATTCGTCGAAGTACCAAACTGATTTGTTATAGTTCAATTGTTTTTCTTTCATTTACTATTTTCATTGCTATAGTGAGGCGAAAAGTTGTGTTTTTCGCTCGGCAGCAGAGTTGTTTTGCGTCTCATGCCTTGAAACCCTCGCTGCGTTCAGTATTCTATTTTTGAACCACTCGCTTCGCTCATGCTTCAATTTGAGGATCCTTTACTTGTTCAGGTTTCTATATAAACAATTGCGTCAAATAATAACTTTTCAGCCTTGTATAAAAAATTGCTATTCTGCAATGCAATTGTTTCTTATTTTCGTTTTGTTTTGGTCGTGTTTTATTGACCACTACGAGGCTTTTTAATGAACCTGTTTGTTAGTAAAGCTATGGTAGCCTAATGGTTTGACCTAACCCTCTCAGAGGCCGTGCGTCGAAATTCGGGTTTGCACCTCTGAGTTTCTCAGAATTTATGTGCAAAATTTAATTTAATGTTGAATACAAGGAAAACATCGTGATGAAACCTGCACGTAAGACAAGGTTCATTACCCTCGGAAAACGTGTGAAGTGCCCAACCCGCATTGGATCAGCGTGGCGGAATATGGGTTAAACACTTGCCTGAGAGGCAACACGTGCCGAGCATTAGGACTTATAACAGGGTTGATAAAGTTTATTAGTTTAACTTTATCAACCCTTTTATACGTTCTGTGCTTTAATCTAATGCGAGCTTATATACCCAATATATAAAATATTGCCGTAGTTTCCTGGTAATTAAAAGTTGTAGATAATAATAATAATAATTTTTTTTTAATAATAACGCACACACTCAGCATTGCCCCGCACTAGGGAAACCCTGTGTCGCGGATGTCATGGATACTCACATAGACAACCACAAATTACATCCAAACTCACGAGAGAAATAAATGTAGGCCATAAAAATATTACTCCCGACCCGGGCAGTTAAATAGACTTTCCATTGTTAACTTTTTTAAATAAGGGAAGATTATGTTTTCTTTTGGGGGTAAATATTTTACAATTATATGTTTAGAACTTCAAAATGTAGCAGTTCAAAATGTAGTTTTTTATTATTTATTTTCGATTATTCGATTACCTAATCTGTGATCTGTGATAAATATAAAAAATATTTATCACAAAAATATTTTAATTCATAGGTAAGCAAATTACACATTGATTCAGCACTACTACTCATTCATATGGCAGATACACATTTCCTACTATCCGTACGAATATAACAGGTGAAAGTCGTAAAAATAATACAAATTATGTTTACGTGAAATTTTATAACTCCTATCAAGCATAAAAAAGTTATCGACTAATATCGTTCGTAGAATCTTTAAGTCTCTTTCCTGAAAATTTGTCATATTACATATGTTATAGGCCTTATTACACCAATGATGAGATAGTGCGTATTTATTTTAAAAAAATTATGCGATTTATAATTTTCAATATTTATTTCAAGTATCATAGATAGATATATGTGGAAACAAATCTTACCTATTTCTGTCGATAAGCAGTAATGTCAGCATTGCTGTGTTCCGGTTTTGAAGGGTAAGGATGCTGGTAAAATTACAGACACATGGGACTTGCCAACTATGTCTCAGGGTGACGGGCGCAGTGGCAGTGCCCTTCAGATCTTTGCGATTTAAAGCTCTGAGTGGCACTGCAACTTATGGACAGGCGTATAGCTTACCATCAGGCGCATGACTTGTTCGTTCCGTCACTTGATATTATAAAAAAAAATGAACGACGGGTTACTGCCGTGGATTTTTGTCATCCAAGTACGCAGACACCTGTATATCATTGTATAATAGCGTTTAGTATAAAGTTCTTCTTTCACTACTGCTTTAAACTTGTAAATGGCAATTTTTTAAATATCAACAGGAATCTTATCATAGAAGCATACAATGCCCTTTAAATTAATTAGTTACTCTGTGAAGACGACTATCAAGAAGAGTCAATTTATTATTTTTGACATAAATTACCATTTTAAAAGATTATTGTGCCGTTTGTGTAAGAATATTAACGTCTTTTAAGAAATATGCGCAAAGAAAATGACCTTAATTATTATTATTTATGAAATCTTTTAAGAAAATTACCTTTTTATAGTCAGAGACACTCCGAGGCCCGGTTTGAAATTGCCCTAAAGATCACCCTTTAGCAGAACAATGTAGGCGACATTAACTCAACGCAAAATGTCGTATATCATTAAACTGTTAAAGTAGTCAATGTTAACTAATCTTGCCGTTTTTAATTCAGAAAGTTTTCGTATTTTTTATTGTATATGCTGTAGAGCTAAGCAGTTTCGACAATTTAGTTATTTGTGGACCTTAAAGCAATTTAGCATTTAGAAGCGCACGACTGTGTTCATTAGATAATATTGCTAACCGAAAGTATAACCATAGTATATTAAGATTTTTTGACCTTGCATATGCATTATGACCTTTTGCATATCCGAAATGTCTATCCTAAGGTTGCCTGGAAGAAATTGCTACATAGCAATAAGGCCGCCTGTTGCACAATGACTTACTACTACTTTTATACTTAAGCTATTTTATTGTATTTTTATTGTAATTTTATGTGCAATAAAGAATATTTCATTAAGAGTAAGTATGGCAACATCCGCCTATTCGGCGCATAAACGCTATTTTTTTAATACTTTTGGCTTGGATACAAGTCCATTTAGCCATGTCTTCGTTTAATTATCAGGATCCTCATTAAATATTTTCCATTATGGTTCTACAACATTATGTTTTCACTTTCTCTTAAATAACTTAGTTCTCTTGTTTGGGCTTTTTAAATAGTCTGTTAAGCGGCGAGAGTCTATATTTATGTTTTCACTTTCATTTATATCACATTGTTTTCACTTTGAAAAGTTTGAATTTGTGATTATTGGAATTTTCAGTATAAACTCTTTTGTAATTTGATTTAAAATAAGGAATATAGTTCTAACTTTCTTCATCACTATTTCTTTCTTCGTATTTTCTTCTTAATATACTTGAAATCAAATTAATCTTTGTAAAAACTGTACTTGTAACTTCAAAAACCCGCCATTTTTCCCGTAAACGCCTATATTTCACTCGGACCGTAGGATTGTTCACATTGTTTTAGTTCTACCTACAAGTTGTAAACATAATTTGAAAATTGTAAAGTGTTCATCATAAATTCTCATGCATAATTAAAATTACCTTTGTTAAATGCTGTAGGTATTTACGTAGGTATTGATATTTTTATACCAGCATCGCGGATTGGTATCTTGATTATGGAGTATGATTATAAAATAGAAATAAAATGCTAAACAGTTATGAATTTTAGGCATTCTTCTTCCAACTACCATAAACACAACAATAAACACATCTACGTTGTTATCAGCGACTGCTTATATTCTATAAATTAAAAGCGCGTGAGACGATCCGCGCTATGCAACATGAGTGCACCGCGATTATGCGAATGTGTTACCATTACAACATTGTTACCATAGTTCTCTTATTATGCTACGGTATAACCAACAGTACTTTGATTTCGTTGTTGCCTCACATTTAGCCTTTTTAATGTTATGTCCATAATAGATGGGATATTGCAATGGAGCTAAGCGAACTAGGCGGAGGCATTACCAAACGCGAAGTGACGCGTCACGAAGCAGCTGCTTTGGCAGAGGAGAGACCAGAAGATGCTGAGGCAGCGTTCTTAAGAGCTGGAGCACCTGAAGATGCCGTTAGGATGTGGTTGACGCGTGGTCATCATCAGCGTGCTTTGCAGCTTGCTGAACAACATGCTGAACATTTGGTATGTAATTTTGGAAGTCGTTACAATTGAAGCTATCATTATTGAAGAGAAACTTCTTCCGATAACAATATGATATTTGACAAATATCGACAATTTAATTAGCATTAAAAATAGAATTGAAATCAGTTGTTCAAATAGTAACAGGCATTCAGTGACGGTTAGTAAGAAAACTGTAACTTGTTTGTAACGTCACAACCGTTATGGCGCCGTACATTAATATATCTGGCGTTTGTTGAGACAGAGAGTTCAGTGTGAAATTTTTGAAATTTTCTGTTTCTGCCGCCAAGCAGTAATGTCTACATTACTGTGTTCCGGTTTTGAAGGTTAAGGGTGCTGGTTAAATTGCAGACACATTATGGGACTTGTCAACTTATGTCTCAGGGTGACAGGCGCAGTGGCAGCGCCCCTCAGATCTTACCGATTTAAAGCTCTGAGTGGCACTGCAACTGCTATGGATAGGCGTGTAGCTTACCATCATGCATGACGGGACGAACAAGTCGTGCACTTGTTCGTCCCGTCACTAATATTATATATAAAAAAAGATATCACAATGAAATGAAACACGAATCTTTTCGTTTTCATAATGTTTATGTAAGATGATTAAAGCAATATACACTTTTTAGTCAAACTCCCTACAGCAAGAGCACCTTTAATTCATTAAGATAAGCTTGGTTTTTATCAAATGTCGAGATACTTTTAAAAAGTTTGAACATTCTGATCGTTCTGACGTTGATTGTATTATCAACGAATTCAATCAGAGATCTAATCGCTGTTTGTACGTCGACTGAAATTATAAAATGAAGTAGGTAACGTACAGGGCTGGACAATGTTTGAATTACGTGTAATAGAAATACGTATTTGAAATATATATTTTGAAAACCAATAACTTACGTTGAAATACAAATCCAAAATATTTATTTGTACTTCAAATACTATCTAAAGGCGTATTTACAATTGGCATTTCCAATATCTGATATTTATGTATTTTGTATGTACATTTTACTCCATACAAAATAAAGTACTTGAAATAACAGTAGACCATGTGTAGAATCATGTTGTGTTTCGGATTTTAAATACATACAAGACAATATTTTGTGTAGTCCTCTAGGGCTAGCACGACAGGGCGCAACTTGCGCGAGAGCGACATAAAGCGTCAGATCTCTATAATAATAATAATTTATTTTCTCCACAAACATAATACTTACATTAGAATCAAAATATAACATACACAATCAGAGATATTACATTATGTTTGTAAGAGACTGGTACCTCTATGCAAGAATAGCAGTATCTTGCGCACTTGCGCAAGTCGCGCCCTATCGTGCTAGCCCGAAATGGTCACCATACTTTCGGATATCACGTTGATTGCCTCAAAAAAGTTGACGTATTGTTTCAAAACTCTCAGGTAGAAGAAGTTTTAGTAGAAGGAGCTAGAACCGCAGCTGAACGCGGTGACCTTACACAGTTTGAAACGCTGATGATACGCGCCAACAGACCGCGGGAGGTAGTGCAGCATTACAAAGACCTTGGTGAGTATTACACGTCTATGTGTCGATACTGTACTTTTATTTGTGTTAACAAAGTTGAGTATTCATTTTTAGAGCTTTGGGAAGAGGCGGCTCGAGTAGCTCGCGAATATTTGCCAGACAGTGCAGAGCCTGTACCACCAACTGTGCCTCCATTGTTACAGCGTGCCGCTGACCATGCTGACAGGTATCTAATATATATAATAATAAATATTTATATATATTTACAAACAGTTCTAATTACCCAGTACGGACTCCATAAGGTCTGCTGATCCGTCTTGTAGTACAGTTGGGAAAGTGGTAACCCAGGACTGGCAAACAGTCGCTGGTTCTAATCCAGCCTTATCGAAGGATTTTTTAAAAATCAATAATAACACCAAACTAGTGGAGTATTTTCACAAAAAATATATGAATAATAAGATAGTAGAAACATTATGATATTCAACAAAATATTGTTTTATTTGTCTGAGCTTGGGATAACGAAAGGGATCATCGGTCAATCATGAGTGTTACAACTGGGGTAACGACAAGAAAATACATGTTTGACAGAGGGGAATGGTGGGAAGCAGTGGAACTCTTGATCAGTGCAAGCACAGCGGGTGCAGCTGGTGGTGCCGCACGACTGGCAGAACGAGCGGCACTGCGAGCCGCTAGGTTGGCACGGGATCATCTGCAGGGCGACAGGAGAAGAATGGCTGCTGATATGCTAGCAGATAGGTAAAAACTAGAATCGAATATACAAAATGTATTAACATTCCATTTTTAATTTTTGTTAAAATAATTTCTTATAATGCGCATGAAACCAAATCAGTTAACACCTAAACAGGTACAAGAAAGGCTATTAATATTTGTTTAGATTCGCAGCTATTGGTCAAAGTGATGTTGGGGAACAACTTCGAGCAGCTCTCGGAGGCGACGGATACGGTGGTGGCGATGATGGCGCTGGTAAAATGACTCTAATAAAATTATAAAAATCCTTCTCAATGTAAGACCTGTATCTGTACCACGAGTTCATAGTGACCCATAAAATATTTGTATGTAGACTGATACTTCTTCTTGTTACTTAAAAGAGTGCTGTACAATTTCCTTAAGTCAAATACACAACAGCACATTTAGCGGAACAAAGAAAAAGTGAAAATATAAAACAGTAACTTTTATATTTAAATAAATAAGATTGAATTAGATTATTATATTAACATCTTTTAACATCGATATTTAAACAACCTTACTCAACCTTTATTGGAAAACTAACAGACAAAATGCATGTTTTTTAGATTTTGTAACAAAGCAGAAAAGGCTGAAAATTTAAAAATTGTAACAGCACTACAAAAATTGTAACAACATTGATTGAATCAAACTTTAATGAATTTAAAATCTTATTCAAATAAAATTTATGAAATTTACAAGAACGCAAAATCAACATCGAATCACTTGATTATTTAAGTATCGCCACCGAAATTAGGTAGTGAAAACGAACCAGAATATTAATGAATTAAAAAAAAAATTAAAAATTAATAAATTATGAAAAATTAAAAAATGAAACAAGTGACAGCCGACTACTTTTTTTTGCTTTCAAATTGGACCCAAGTAAAATAAAGTAATCAAACACTTTTTAAAAAAAAAATTGCATTATTGTGATTTAGATCTTACTAGTGTTCAGCTAAATGTGCTGATGTGTACGCGGTCGCTAGCTGTACCTGTTATTATAAACTCATGATTAACGTAATGGGGAAAAAAGCTCTTGACCAATCAATTTACTTTAGGGAGTGTGGACGACAATCGTTGTTTTTTTATAATATTAACACGTCGTCGTCGTCGATGAACAAGTCGTGCGCCTGGTAATAAGTGATACGTCTATCCATGACAGTTGCAGTGTCATTCAGTGCCTTAAATCACAAATATTGGTACACACTGCGCTCGTCACTTCTGAGAGGTAAGTAGACAAGCTCCATGGGCTTGTAATTTCACCAGCACTCTGAAAACATATGAAATGAATACGTAAGGTCGTGGTACTTCCCTGGATGAACTCTTTCATAAGGAGGTCTACTGCTACTATGTATTGATTGGTCGAGTGCACTCTTACCTAGCCACATCTTACAACGTAACTTTATTAAAAGTTTCTCAAAGTGGGCCCCAGTGGGCGCTGAGCATCCTATTTCGCGGTATTTGGCGATCGCGGTCTCGGAAGCAATTGATGCTGTCCAGGGGGTGCTAACTCATTTGAAAAAAAAAAAAAAATCCTGAATTATCCATATAAACTACACTACAAGTATATACTTCTTTTTCCTTATTATTTTTTTGTGTTAAGTTACTATAAATAATACGTATTTTCAATTATTTTTTGTGGTAGTGGGCGTTGAAATTTTTTTATCTTGCCTAAGTGGGCAGTGTGTCAAAAAGTTTGGGAACCTATGCTTTATTTATTACGCTATCACGGCATCGTTATTTAACAGGTACATCAGTGGATTACTCCGAGGAAGAAATGGGGGCAACCCCTCAAGTGTCCGAGGCAGAAGTCGAGGCAGAATCGGAGGCTCTGGAACGACTTGCTCGGGCAGGACATTGGCAACGTTGCCTCGCACATGCGGGTGTTAGAGCACCCCATTACGCGTTGAGATATGCTGCGCAATTGTTCAAATCTCATCCGGTTAGTAAAGAGCCATTATTATTTTTCTACAAATTCAAGTAGTAACTGCAACTTAGCCTGTATATTTATTAGTAAGTGGAAGTTTATTTAAGTATATATATATACAAATAATATATATGGATATCTTTCCAGCGCGGAAACAGCAGGGAGGTTATGTTTCGTTACGTTACCGGATTTGTACCAGCTAAAACCCCTCTGTGGCTTATTTGGATGCTTAAAATATCAACTTTTATTTTACCTTTAAACTAACATAATACCTAAAGTAATATGTTACTTTAAAGGTTGTCCGTGTAAAGTTACTTTTTTACTTATCTCAAAAATTTGAAATTCTGTACTGCTAGTGGTTTTAATTGGTTATTTTTCTTAAATTTACATGAAATTTGTACAATTCGCGTCCTTGATGTAATGAGGCCATATCAGCTAAATGATAATTTTTCAGTAGACAGGCCTAAAGATTTTATGAACGAATTTATTCGATAACTTTTTATGCTTAAATGGAGAGTTACGAAATTCCACATATACATAATTTAGTTTTAATATTTTGTATTATTTTTAAGACTTACATGTGATAAAAGCGTTTTAGCGTACATATGATCGCATGTGGCTTTTTATACCAAGGGTTCGAAATATAGACATTAGAACCTGGGTCCGCGGATGTGGTATTCTCAGATCAATTTCAATTTCATTGCCCTTTAAGTCAACGTCGTTACAAGTATTTAAGTTTTAAGTGTTAATAATTGTTGTTTCTGTAGTGGAGTCTCTCACTTTGCTAACTACAGTGTGAGAGACTTTATGGGCTCTCCTATAAGATGATGTGAAGGGGCCGGTGGATTCTTTAACTCTTCCGTAATGTAACAATACACTTTCCTTCCTTCTTTCTTGCGTTGCGTTTATTTGAAGTACTCTTAAAGTCTAGTCATTTTATAAGTTACGAGCCCTGTACCCCACCTACGGTGGCATTGGGGTCGGCCTGCGGCGCGTGGTCGGTTTCAGTTTACGGGGTGTGCTCATTCTCTTCGGTGGCACAGCAGTTAGTACTATGGGCGCTTGATGAGGAGGTCGATTCCCGATTTGGACCAATTTAAGAAACGAACATTTCTAAGTTGGTTTTGGTCTGAGTATTCTGGATTATCGTTGTTTTGGTATTCATAGTACAGGAAATTCGGCTGTAGTTTAGCATTTTTTCCCCCTAAATACTTCTCTTTAGCAAAGCTTTCAAGAAAATAGAATCTAACAGATGTGGTTGAGATACAACAACGCTATAATAATTATCTCATTTCCACTACATCGGGAAGTATGCCTTACATTTTTACAATTGTGAGCTCTTGTACTCGTAATCTATTAAGCCTCCGACAATAATTACCTCCATACGAAGGCGTGCGGACGCTTCGGGCTTTGCTCTCCGCGGACCTCGGCCTGCGGCCTCGGCACTTAGGACTTTGTTTTAAAAAACATTTAAATAGATCTTTAATGGCGGCTATATTTAAAAATTACAACAATATGTTATGACCACTAATTATTATCAAACAATCTTAGAAATCTTTTCGTGCTAATTTTCAGTCCGAGCAAAGCAAGTTAAATAAATAAATTAGGGCTATATCGAAAAACAGAGGAAACAAAATGTTTACCCCAAATTATAATGCCATGTCATTTTCAGTCGAATTAGAAGAAATTTGCATCTATCGCCAAAAATGTTTGTATGGTAGTCATATTGAAAAATGGTGAAAACTAAATTGTAACCGCTAATTATTATTAAACATTCATAAAGACCCCGATATGCCAATTTTCAGCCGGATCGAAGCAAGTTTTTCTTGGGCCGCCATTTTGAAATAGCCATCTTGATTTTTTTTAACCCAGGCAGTTGACCAGTGTTACCCTCTATGACATTCCTTCAAGCACCTCTTACCTATCTCTAATAGTTTCCGTGATAGGAGGCTTTGAAATTTGTATGGCGGCCATCTTGTTTATTTGAATTTCGAACATTTTTTACTTCCCGCGGAAATTGACCAGGGTGTATCTTATAAAAATGCACAAAAATCCCCCCATGTATTAAAGTTTTTGCAGTCCGTTGATTACTTGTTTACATTTTCCACATTCAGGGCTTCTCATTTTGATTTTGCTTTGGAGCCTACCCGCGTACAACGGTATAAATATTTTTTTTCCACCATATCGGGAAGTATGCGTCCTATTTCTATCAGTGAGTAAGAACTTGTAGCTTTATATATATAATAAAGCGTGAAAGACACTGACTGAGCTGATGCGGGTTGGGCGCGAGTCGGGGTCAGGGCCGCGGCGGGACTAATTCCGTGAATTTATATGGACGACAACACAACAATTTATATGGACGAGCGCGGGCGCGCAACGGGCACATGGAATTACTCCCGCCGCGGTCCCGACCCGACTCCCGTCCGACTCGCACCCGCTTTGTGTGTTTCACGATTTAGAGAAAACTAATCATTTACACGCATAAACACACCCCAACGGGGTATGTTTGTACTTATTACCTATATAACGCCTGTACGAACATTGTTTACAATAAATAAATAAATAAATGTTCTATATAGTGAGTAAGATACCCTCTTATTTATGTAATATTCAATCGTAAACACACCCGTCTCTACATGCTATGGTGTCTCCAGGGGCGAATACTTACCAGGTGAAACCGGAATACCAGCACATTGCTGAGGCTTTTACCTTTTCTTCGGCATAGATTTAAGCAATTATATTATTTTAAGTGTTGTATGTTTTGTGTTGAAAAATAAAATATTTTTATTTTTTATTAATACAATAAGTATTTGTTGGGAATTCCCGTTTGCAGCGTACCGAAGGCGTAGATATCGAAAGCGAAGAAGTCCCAGAAGCATTATCTCAAGCTCTCGACACTCTCCGTCAATATCTCGTGAGTGACACTGGTGTCGAGTTGCCGAGCAGCGACACAACTCTAGCAAGAGCCATCGGCACCGAAATTCTAGTGCGGATGTCTCTGGCGCCGAAAGCGTTTGCCGTTA